GGTGCCCATCCCCATGGCCTCGGGCCTGCCCCATTCCCAAGGGATCCCCCCATGGTGCCCATCCCCATGGCCTCGGGCTGCCCCATTCCCAAGGGATCCCCCCATTCCCGCGGCGCTCCGGCAGGGAGCGGCGCCGATCCGGCCGCGTGGGGCTCCCGCTTGGAAGACCTCTACTACAACGCGCCCCAGGTAGGTGCCTCCGGGGCACCCAGAGAGGGGGACACCCCAAAACACCCCCTGTTGATCCCTATATCCCGCCAGGAGCCGCCGGACGAGGAGGAGGAGGAAGAGGAGGAAGAGGAGGAAGCGCTGCGGCGCCGGCACCGCGCGGCCGTCACCATCCAGGCCGCCTACCGGGGCTTCCGCGTGCGCCGGGACGCCAAGCGGCTCCGGGATTCCGTGTCCCAGGAAAGCTGGGCATGACCCGGCACCCCCAAAACACCCTTTGCACCCCCACAATGTGACCTCCCCCTTTTCCCACCCCAGCCGGAAAATCCAGGAAAAAAGGGGAAAAAAATCCCTTTTTCCATGTGCTTTTCCCAGCCGGACCCCCCTCAATCCCAAAATCCACCCCTTCCCAAAAAACCCTTTAAAAGGAGCACGTCCCCCAGGACCCCCCCAAATTAGGGCACCAAAAGGAAGCGCTGCTTTAATGAGAACTTAATAAATTGGTGCCGCTAATTAGGGGCGGGAGCAGGGGGGGCCATTCCCAAGAGGCCTCCGAGACTATTTGCAGGCTTCCCGACGGATTCCCAGCTCCGGATCCGTTTTCTGGAGCCCTTGAAGTGCAGGGAGGATATTTAATGCCTTATATATATATATATATTTATTTATTTCCCCTCCCTCCTTTTTTGCCCCCCAAGCTCCGTTGTCGCTGTTTCCCCGCCCCTGTTTTCCCAATATCCATAGGGAAAACAAAAACCAGGTTACTTTTCCCGCGCTGCTTCCATTGCTTTTTATTTAGGGTAAAAAAATAGGATTTTTAGCATCGCAAAAGGGGGGGAAAAGCCCTTTTTTTCCCAGGCATTTTTGCCCTGGAAAGCGGGAGCTGGTGCACTTGGATCCTGGGAAATAGGGGGATGAGGGGGAGAAGGGCCCCCCCCCTCCCGCTGTATCCCTACGGATGCGGAGCGGCTCCGGAGGATGAGGCTGGCATTTGGCGCGCAGCCTCCCTCCTCCGCAGCCTCCATCCGCGTCGGATGCGGCCTCCCCGCGCCGGCCCCGGCTCCGATCGCTTCCCGCGTGCCAGCAAAATCCCGCTCCGGAGCTGGGGGGGGGGAGGAATGACGGGAACGGGCCCCTTTTCCCGACCCCCCATCTGCTCCAAGGTGGCTCCTCAGGGGTTGGCACTGAAGATGGGAATGGGGAGCGGTTTGCCGGGGGAAAACGTTGTTTTTCCCAGGGGATTTTTTGGAGCGCAGCTCCGGAGCGGAGCCGGGAGCTATTTTTTTCCGGCCTTGGAGCGGGTGGGATGAGGTGGCATTTGCGAGGCGGCTCCTCCGGAGAGCGGCTGTGATCGGCTCCGCTTCCCGCAGGAAATAAAAAATATCCCCAAGCTCCGGGCTCCGAGAGAGCTCCGGCCGCCTCCGGAGCAGCGCGGAGGCGGGCTGGGATTGGGGATGGGGACGGGATGGGGATCAGGATGGAGATGGGGATGGGATGAGATGGGGGTTGGGATGGGGATGGGGATGGGGGTCAGGATGGGGATAGAGAAGGGATGTGGATGGGATGGGGATTGGATGGGATGGGGATGGAGATGGAGATGGAGATGGGATGGGGATGGGGATGGGAATAGAGATGGGGATGGGATGGAGATGGAGATGGGAATGGGAATGGACATGGGGGTGGAGATGGGGATGGGGATGTGGAGGAGATGAGGATGCGGATGGGAATAGAATGGAGATGGGGATGGAGATGGGATGGGATAGCAATGGGAAGGAAATGGGGATGGGAATGGGATGGAGATGGGATGGGGATAGGGAGGAGATGCAGATGGGATGGGATGGGGTGGGGATGGAGATGGGAATGGGATGGAGATGGGATGGGGATTGGGAGGAGATGGAGATGGAATGAAATGGAGATGGAGATGGGGGGGGGGGACATGGGGCTTGAGGATGGGGATGAGATGGAGATGGGATGGGGATAGGGAGGGGATGGCCTGGAGATGGGAATGGGATGGGGAAGAGATGAGGATGCAGATGGGATGGGGATGGGGTGGGATGGGGTGGGAAGGGATGGATGGTGACGGAGCCCGCGGTGGGGCTGGGATGTGGACGGCGGAGGCGCCGGGTGCCGGGGCAGCCCCGGGGGCGGCAGCGCCGGGAGCGCCGGGAGCGCCGGGAGCGCCGGGAGCCGGAGCCGTCGCCCCGCGAGCCAGGACGGAGCCGCGGGAGGTTGCCTAGCAACACCCAAGCCCGGGAGCGAGCGGGAAGCGGGAGCCGGCGGCGCCGGAGGCGGCGGGAGCTGCGGGACCGCAGGGCCCTGCCCGGGAACGGCCCTGGCCAGGCAGCCCATCCCAGCGCCAGGAATCCCATCCCAGCGCCAGGCATCCCATCCCATGTCCAGGCATCCCATCTCGTGCCCATACATCCCAKCCCAGCTCCATGCATCCCATCCCAGYGCCAGGCATCCCATCCCAGCTCCATTCATCCCATTGCAGCACCAGGCATCCCATCCCATGTCCATACATCCCATCCCAGCGCCAGGCATCCCATCCCAGCTCCATGCATCCCATCCCATGTCTATGCATCTCATCCCAGCTCCATACATCCCTTCCCATGTCCAGGCATCCCATCCCAGMTCCATRCATCCCAYCCCAGCRCCAGGCATCCTGYCCCRTGCCTGTACATCCCATCCCATGTCCATGCATCCCACCATAGCTCCATACATCCCGTCCTGATCCATACATCCCATCCCAACTCCATACATCCCYCCTAGGTCCACTCATCCCAGCCCATGTCCATCCATCCCGCCCCACCTCCATCCATCCCATCCCATGTCCATCCATCCCGTTCCAGCTCCATCCATCCCACCCCATGTCCATACRTCCCACGCATCCGCCCGTCTCCCATGGGACCAGCTTGCCCCCGACCCCCCAATAACCCCCCAATTTGGGGCACCCGCAGGCCCCAGGCACCCGGAATCCTCCCTCCGGAGCATCCCGCCCTTCCCGGAGCGCCGGGAAAGGGAGGAGGAGGAGGAGGCGGCTCCGAAAACTAGGTCAGGATCCAGGCTGAGCCTCACGGCGCGGGAAAAGGGGGCACCCGGCTCCGCTCGGGAATGACACAGGGGGACCTTCCCCCCGCCATCCCCTCCAGGAAGTTTTTCCCTATATTTTAATGGAAAAAGGAAGGAAAAGAAAGGAAAATGATGGGATAACATCCTGAAACGGGTCMAGAAGCGGGGCGCGAAGTCCCCTTCCAGGCTGCTCTTCGGCCTCACAATCCCCATCCCATCCCAAGATCCCAGCCCMGACTCCTCCGGCTAAGCCGGAATCTTGGAATACCGGGAATGGGGGGGATAACCCCCCCCTAACTCCTAGGGACCGGGGGGGGGGGGGGCTGCTGCACCTTTAAGCGCTGCCAGCGAGCTCGGAGGAGGAGGAGGAGGAAGGCGAAGGGAGGCGGGGGGGCGCAAAAAAAGGAGGGGAAAACATTAAAAAAGGGAGGTATATATATATATTTTATATAAAATAGGATCCCCCCCCCCCAGCCCCCCCTTCCCGCGGGCCTTGATAGGCTGAGGCGCCGGCGGCGCCTAACGTGGGCGGGCGGTCGGGCTCAAGTCGCCACCTGCGCGCGGAGCGGAGCGGAGCGGAGCGGAGCGGAGGCGCCACCATGGACTGCTGCAGCGTAGGGATCGGGATCGGGATCGGGATCGGGATCGGGATCGGGATCGGGATCGGGACCGGGATATGGGGATCCGGGGATATGGGGCGGGTAGCGGTTCCTGCCCGCTCCGCGCTCCCACCTCGCAGCCTCGGGCTCCGCTTTGGGATACGGGAGAGCGCGGCGGGATGCGATTTAAGGGGGGTCTTATTTGGGGGGGTCTTATTTGGGGGGGTGTTATTTGGGGGGATGTTATTTGGGGGGATGTTATTTAAGTGGGATGTTATTTAGGTGGGATGTTATTTAAGTGGGATATTATTTAAGGGGTGTTATTTAAGGGGTGTTATTTGGGGGGTGTTATTTAAGGGGGGGTGTTATTAAAGGGGGGGTTATTTAAGGGGGGGGATGCCCTTTAAGCGAGGGGGGGGACCCGCAATCACCGAGCTTCACTCCTGCTCCATCCCCACTTTCCCGTTTGGGATTTTCCCCCTTTTTTTCCCTAGCAGATGGAGTTGGGGGGGGGGGTCCGGCAGCCGCTTTTGCCACCCGGAGCCCCCCCAGGCAGGGGCCGATCCGGCGGAAAATTCCCTYATATTTTTCCCTTTTACCCCCCCGCCGCGCCCGCCCACGCGCGGACTTTCGGCCGCTTTTCCCTCTTTTCCCTCCTCCGGCTCCGTCCCTTCCCGCCGGAGCCTCCCGCCTGGCCCCGGATCCACGCGGATCCGGACGGGCGTGGATACTGCTCCCTACCGGTTTCCATACCCCCCTTCTCCGGTTATTTTCCAGCCGGGATCACCCTACACCTCRGCCAGGTCTTTCCCTCCCCCTTTTTTCCGCTCCTCCGGGCGATCCGGTTTCTCCGCTCCGTAGCAGAGCCCGGYGGATTTCATTACATGTCACGGCGGGGGCAGAGCAACCCCCCCTCATCCAACCCCCTCTTCCCTAAAATCGCCCCAAATCCATAAATCCGGCCGGATTTAATCCCAAATTGGCCAGGATGGGGAGCGAGCTGCAGGGATTTATCCAGTGCCTCTCCAAGCGGGATTGATTCATCCCCCCCTACTCAGCCCCCCCAAAAATAAGGATGTGGCAACAGATCCCAATCCCAAATCATGGAGCTGGGAAGAGGGTTATCCAGCCCACCCAGCCATAAAAAAATAAATAAAAAGAGGATTTTGCAGCCCCGGGCGCTAAATTGGGAAGTCAGCTCTTCCCCGCCGTGGGAGGCTCCGCTTCGGAGCCGGGATTTTTCCCGCCGGGATGCTCGAGGCCGCGGGCAAAGTAGAGATTTTTGCCGGCGTTTTCGCCCCTTCCCGGCGTTTTCCCGCCGCATCCCGTGTCCGTGYGCAGGAGGGAGCGTGCCCCAAGCTGGACGAGGACATCCTGGACATCCCCCTGGACGATCCCGACGCCAACGCGGCCGCCGCCAAGATCCAGGCGAGCTTCCGCGGCCACATGACTCGGAAGAAGATCAAGGGCGGCGAGATGGAGCGGAAAACCAAGGATGCCGAGTGTGCCGGAGGCGCCCGCGCCGGCGACCTCCGCAACGGCGACTAGCCCGCCCGGGTGAGGGACATCCCAAATCCCCCTTTTCCCAATTTTCCCCCCTTTTTTTCCAGCCTCATTTTCTGGCTCTTCCACACCACACCATTGGGAATTTCCTTTCCCGCTTGGCCTCGGCCTCCACGAGGCCTCTTGCGGCCTCGCTGCCCCGGGGCACGGTGTTCCCAGCAGGAATTCCTTGGGAGTTGGGAATAGGGGCGTTTCAATGGGGGGATTCCATGGGATTTGGGGATGGGGCTCGCTTTCCCGGCGGGAACGCYGGTGCTGCGGCTCCCTTGGCAACGCGGCCCCGGCGCCGGCTATTTTTAAAAGCGCCGTCGGCTCCGAGCGGGAAGCGGGTCGGGATGCGGAGCCAGAGGGTCCCTGGGAGCGGGAAGCGCCGGGGTGGGAATTTTTTCCTTTTCCTCTTCCCCCGTTTTTGCCTGAAATTGGGAGTTGGGTGGGGGGTGCAAGGAAAGGGTGCAAGAAGTGGGTGCAGGTGCAATGCAAGGGCTGGGCGCAAGAAGCGGGTGCAAAACTGGGTGCAAAATCGGGTGCAAAATTGGGTGCAGGGATGGAGCTGGGTGCAGGCAGGGTGCAACACAACAACCGGGTGCAAAAATGGGTGCAGGAAGGCGGCGGGGTGCAATGCAAGACCTGGGGTGCAAGGACTGGGTGCAAGAGGTGGGTCAGGCAGGGTGCAAGGTGCAGCGCGAGGGCTGGGTGCAAGAAGTGGGTGCAAAATTGGGTGCAGGCAGGGTGCAGTGCAAGAACAGCTTGCAAAACTGGGTGCAAGAAGGGTACGCAGGGTGCAAGGTGAGATATGGGTGCCAGAAGTGGGTGCCGGCAGGGTGCAAGGCAGGAGCTGGGTGCAAAATTAGGTGCAAGAAGTGGGTCAGATGGGGYGTAAGGTGCAATGCAAGAAMTGGGTGCAATAATTGGGTGCAGGCAGGGTGCAATGCAAGAACTGGGTGCGGTAATTGGGTGCAGTAATTGGGTGCAGGGTGCAATGCAAGAATTGGGTGCAGTAAGTGGGTGCAGGCAGGATGCAGGGTGCAATGCGAGAACTGGGTGCAATAGGTGGGTGCAGCAATTGGGTGCAGGGTGCAATGCAAGAACTGGTGCAATAGGTAGGTGCAGTAGGTGGGTGCACTCAGGGAGCAAGGTGCAATGCATGAGTGGGTGCAAGGTGCAGCACAAGAACCATGTGCAAGATCTGGGTGCAAGAAGTAGGTGCAGGCAGGGTGCCAGGGTGCAGTGCAAGAATTGGGTGCAAGAAGTGGGTGCAGGCAGGGTGCAAGGTGCAATGCAAGAACCGAGTGCAAAAAGTGGGTGCAGGCAGGGTGCAACACAAGAACTGGGTGCACTAGGTGGGTGCAGGCAGGGTGCAAGGTGCAATGCAAGAACTGGGTGCACAAGGTGGGTGCAGGCAGGGTGCAGGGTGCAATGCAAGAACCGAGTGCAAAAAGTGGGTGCAGGCAGGGTGCAACGCAAGAACTGGGTGCAATAATTGGGTGCAACGCACAAACTGGGTGTACTAGGTGGGTGCAGGCGGGATGCAATGCAAGAACTGGGTGCACTGGGTGGGTGCAGGCAGGGTGCAAGGTGCAATGCAAGGAGTGGGTGCAGGAATTGGGTGCAGGGTGCAANGGGTGCAGGGTGCAACGCAAGACCTGGGTGCACTGGGTGGGTGCAGGCAGGGTGCAGGGTGCAATGCAAGGAGTGGGTGCAATAGCTGGGAAGCGGGTGCTGGAAGCGGGTGCCGGCCGCTCACCCCCCTCTCCCGCTCCCTTGCAGGCGCCGCCGGACACCCGGAGCCCCCCGCTCGCCGCCCCCCCGCCGGGGCCCCCGCATGCCCCCCCCGGCTCTGCATGTCCCCAATAAAGGTCCCGCCCCCTCTGATGTCATGTCCCGCGCCACGCCCCCCGATGACGTCACTCGCACGTGTCCCCTGATACCGCACACCCGCGCCGTGACGTCACCCGCTCACCGTGACGTCATAGCCGCAGCCCGTGACGTCACGCCGGCGCCTTGTGACGTCATCGTACCCGCGCTGGTGTAGCCACGCCCCCCCCGCGTGATGTCATGCCCGCCTGCCGTGATGTCAGAGAGGCCCCGTGTGATGTCATCGCCGCGCCAACGCTGTGGGGGGAGGGTGGGGTGGCGTGACGTCACACCGCGGGGGGGGGGCACTGTGATGTCACAGGGCTGGGAGGATGATGTCATCGAGGAGGGAGGCGGCTACTGTGACATCACTGCTGGGCGGAGACCCCCCTTATGACGTCACAGAGGCTGCTGTGACGTCACAGACGCCCCCCTCRCCCCACCCAGAGGCCAGAAACCCCCCCAGAATTCCAATACTTTCACGAAAAACACGACATTTCATGTTATTTTTTTTAAATTTTTTTTTTTTACCAAAAAAGCGCCAAAATCCCCCAAATCCTCCCCCTTCCTCCCCGTCAGCCTCCTACAGGGTTAAAAACTAACGGCAAAAAAAAAAAGAAAAAAAACTTCAGAGGCGTAAAAAGCATCACAAAAAATAATAAAAAGAGGGGATATATAATAATAATTAAAAAATCCCAAAAAAAGGGTTTTTTGGGGGAAAAAGGGTGTCAGACGAGGGAGCCGGCCTGGCTGCGCGCGGGCACCGTGATGGCCGGGCGGGCCGGGGGCTGGCGCCGGGACGGGGACACCGGGGACACCGGGGCGCCCCCGGGGGTCCCCCCGGTTTTGGGGCGCCCCGGTGCCGAGGACAGGGTGCTGGTCCGGGAGGCGCCGTCGGAAGCGGCGCCTTTGGGCCACGCGAAGGGCTTGGGAGCCACGGCGTCTTCCCTGCGGAGACGGGAATAGCGGGGTCAGGAATGCCGGGATGCGCCCGSGGGTCGCCCCGCTGCTGGGGGGAATCCGTGGATAATCCCCCCCCTAATCCTCTGGAGCAGGGAATATCCCGGGTTATTCCCCTATAACCCTTTATCGGGGAAAAAAGGAAAAAAATCCCGGGATATTATCCCGAATCGCTCTGCCACGGGGAAAAAATCCTGGGATATTACCCCGAATCGCTCTGCCATGGGGAAAAATCCCAGGATATTACCCCGAATTGCTCTGCCATGGGGAAAAATCCCAGGATATTACCCCGAATTGCTCTGCCATGGGGAAAAATCCCAGGATATTACCCCGAATTGCTCTGCCATGGGGAAAAATCCCAGGATATTACCCCGAATTGCTCTGCCATGGGGAAAAATCCCAGGATATTACCCCGAATTGCTCTGCCATGGGGAAAAATCCCAGGATATTACCCCGAATTGCTCTGCCATGGGGAAAAATCCCAGGATATTACCCCGAATTGCTCTGCCATGGGGAAAAATCCCGGGATATTCTCCCATAGCCTTTGCCCAGCTGAAAAATCCCAGTTTATTCCCTCCCCATCCCTTCCCTGCTAGGGGAAATCCAACGTGATTCCCGCATATCCCTTGGCTGCATGGAAACATCCTGGGTCATCGCTCCGTATACTCCCTCCTGGCTAGGAGAAACCCCAGGATATTCCCCCAAATCCCTTCACTATGGGGAAAAAATCCCAGGTTATCCCCTCAAGTCCCTGCCTCCCTAGGAAAAATGCCAGTTTATTCCCTAAATCCCTTCACTATGGGGGAAAAAATCCCAAGTTATCCACCTAAATCCCTCCCTTCCTAGGAAAACTCCCAGGTTATCCCCTCCAATTCCTTCCCCTCCTAGGAAAAACCCCACATCATTCCCCATATCCCTCCGCCACAGGGAAAAATCCCGGGATATCTCCCCTGCTCCGGCTCCAGCTGTCCCTCCCAGGGATTTCTCCCGGGAAAACGGCCGCCCTTCCCGGCYCGCGCTCACTTGATCTCGTTGGGCGCCTCCTCGTGCCGCTGCCGGCGCCGGAGGCTCCGGAGCTGCGTGCCGAGGAAGAGGAGGAGGCCGCAGCCGGCCAGGGAGCCCAGGACGCCGCCCGCGATCACCGC